TAATGACTTTTTTTCTCCTGTGGGAAGGGCACCACGTGGAAGCAGAGGGAGGCTGGGAGGAGTCCTCCCCTACCCTTGAAGAGGAAGCAGTGGCAGAGACCACATGGCACAAACTGACTGCCACCCCCACTCCCTTCCCCTTGCACCCCTGGGCAAAGGTGGGGGGGAGGTGAAGAAAACAGGGACAAAATCTAAGCCCAGAACAAAGGCAGGGGTGAAGGGAATGTGTTTGACTTTAAGATCTGGTTGTATCTCTCACTGTTCTACTCTGATGTTGTTAGTAACGAACTAAGATTATTTTGTTTTTTCTCCCTATACTGAGTCTGCCTTTTGCCTGTGACCCTTTAAGTCATGAAAAGCCCTTCCAGTCCTTATACTGACTAGCCCCTTTTTGGGGCATTGTGGTGCTCATTTATGCACTGGGCCTAAACCATGACATATACATCCAATCTCTTTCAAGGCACCTAAGACATTGTTTTGGATAAAGCTCTCTCATTGTAACAACACAGAATAACATATATTTGATAATAGCTCCCAGCTATTAGGGCACTCTCACAGATGTGAAAGATTTGTAGCAGAGGAGGAATTGTAACTTGCCTCTCCCAAACTCCAGCAGAATAAACCCTATAAACAACTCTTACCATCATCTCCCAAATGTGAGTGAGCACGTCAGGCACCTGTCAGAAGTCCTGCAAGTAAACCAGGCAGATGAACATGTTGTTGTTGGACTAGATGATCCTCTACTGGACTAGCTGATCCTTGTGGTCCCCTCCAACCTGGTATTCTATGATTCTGTGAACATGTGAATCTGGCTCTGGTGCACAGACAACACTCAAGACTGCATTTTTCTTCTCTGTCAGCAGCAAAAATACCGGTTCCTGTAGGGACTTTACTGGATTAACAAGAGAAAGGTAGAGATCCTAAAGAAACATCTAGATTCAAGCTGAGGAGGCTTTACTGTGCATCTGAATTTTGGATTTAAACACTTCACACACCAACTAGACATAATTTGTAAACACAGCCCTCAGCACATACTAGAACCAATGACATGTACATGTTTTGTGTATACAATGGATTATTCTTCTACTGTTATGGGGTAGAAAAAAAAAGTTGAAATTAAGTTTTAAAACTACACTAATCATGAAAACGATTCCTATAAATAAAAATTATTGGCACTCCACATATGACATACTAAGTCCTTTTGCTATCTAGTTATCAGTTCTGATACACATGCCTGCAGGCATCTGAAATCTGTAAATAATCTTATTGTTCACAGTTGATTTACTAATCAGCAGCTTTTAATTTCAATGAAGTGTAATTTAAAAAGTCAGAAAAAGAATTCTGAATAAGATCAGATGCTCTTGTTTTACATCAGCATCACAATAAATTTACCTGCATACTTGAACTGTGGCTACATTGCTCTCCAAAACAAGCTGAGTAGTAAGAATCATAAAATTCTAATAAATATTGACCCACACAATCCTCATTTTGAATACAGGTGGAGAACTAGCACCACAACACAGAGAGCAGTTATCTTGTGAACAACAACAAAGAATATTTTCTTAAAAAAAAAAAAGTCACACACATCTAGGCATTGTATAGATTCATCTTTAATAGCTGGAATAGGAAAAGACAGACAGGAATACAGCTTCATACAGGAATCCCAACAGTCAAGACACAGATAAGAATTAAAATAACCCAAAGCAAGAAAATTTCAATGTAAAACATTGCAGCTGTACTTACATGAAGAAAATAAATGCAACATTTGAAACTGTGCTATGCCTCTATCAAAAGAGAAGAAAGCCACAAGCCACTTCGGCTTTTTTCTGAACATGTCCACTACTGAACCTTATTAGGCAGTGCAAAGCTTGCAACATTGCTTGCTTCACTTCAGGGTATACGTAAGTAAACATGTAAGCAATTGGCACATCCTCAAAACCCATAAAAGAAACGTACAGTATCCATAATGCTAAGGTAAGTGAATGTAAATAGTGGCGATTCTGGCAGTACAGTAGTTTGAAAGGAAATGGACTACTGAAGGGCCCTTGACCACAAGAACAAGAGCCAGGTTGTTCTCAGAGCTTGCATTTTCTCAGGCTGTGCTCCACTTAACAGGTGCTCTATGGAGACTGTTTTTCCAGCTGGGTTTTCAAGGAAGAGAGAAAAAAAATTTTGGTTTGACAGTCAGTTGAGCGTAGTGTTTCCTTTTATAAAACCTTGTTAAGGAGCCGTATGTACATACAGAATGAAGTATTAAGCACTCGTTTCTCTGCTGTTTCACAACATCCTTCCTAGGGCAGTTGCTGGACTCCACAACTCCAGAGAACTATCCTCAGCTGCTCTTAGGAGTTGTTAGCATAGGACTAGGAAATAGTCTAGTTAGAGATGCTCTAGGAGATACTTAAAATAACCTTTTGAATAAGGCAAGGCATCAGCTAGCTTTTTTAAGACAAAGACCAGCAACAAATGACATCAGTAACAGCTTCCTAATTGTTACGTTAAAATACTGATGACCATGCTATATTGCCTTTTGTAGTGCTTGTGGTGGTAGATCAACACCTTTGAAAATAATCTCTTATGGATACAATGGCCACCTACTGCATACACTAAACATATACAAATTTAATTCTCCCTTTGCTTTCTACACTAATTTCCACAAAACATTTCAATGATGCGTCTACCACATAACATTGATCTCCATAGGCCTCAAATTCTAGCTGAAACACAAACCTAGCTAAACAACAAAGCTGTGTTTATTAGATCTTTCTTGGTATGTATCTGACATAACTTGGCAAGTTTTGGTACTTTCAATTTACCTGCATACTGCGCGATAAAGCTCTGCAGCTGAAATATTACAGCTCCCATGTATACTTAGCAGATCTTGTTATACAAAGTTGTGTAATTTTATGGACTCCGTATCATTCATTCTTTCAGTGCCTCAGTCTGTGGTTCAGTTTTTCAGAAAATAATTTTCTCTTCCAGGGTTGTTCTGGTCAGAGTTCTCCAGTAACTTTAAAAGAGGATTTTCATAACATCTCTCAAGATGTTGCCTCAGGAAAGTAGGCAACTTCATTCTTAAAAGTATTTACATACTGCACAGACACTCTCTTACACAAACATATACTTACCGGTATAATGACACACCACATCTAAAAGGTTTTGCAAAGACTGACACATTGTGATGTTTCCAAACATGAAAAACAGTTATCTGCAGACTTCTAAAAGAGAGCCATTTGGAGGGTCTGTGAAAAAGTGTTCCCTCCAAGCTTACATCCTCCCCAAAGACCACTCACTAGCTTCAAAATATCCCCATGCTTGGCATTAACTAAAGCTCTCTTGGCAATGGAAGAATTCAAGAATAAACATGTGCAAATAACACTTTCTTAAAAAATCTCACAGCAGGAACAAGAAAATGGAGAACACTTAAGGGAAATTACCACATTTCTGAAATGTTATTTATCTGGGAGGCTCACAGTTCAATGCTAGTACACACACACACACACATATATATACACATACACCCTATATATGTATATACATACAGGATCCAGGGACAGAAGAAATTAATTAGTATATAGTGCCTGTCCAATAAGTATGTGCACCACTGCAAGGAACACTAGGTTCATCCATCAGCTTTCAGCCATAAGAACGACAAACTCAGAGCACTAATAAGGAAGTTCAACCACACAAAACAGGAAGCCTATCACCATGAGGTGAAACCACAGGAGCCACATTATCAGACATATCATAAATCCACAAGTTTAACTTATCTGAAGCAGCACCATCAGACAGCATAGATAGAACAAGCTGCCAATGGTCAAGTCTAAAATATTTACCTTCAGCCTTAACTCAGTTCTGACTACTTCCAAGTAATCCCAGAATAACACCTGTATGCAGTTACCCATCTATACAGGGAATTAGTTTCTTTGAGAAGACTATTGCTGTCCTTACCAGTCAACAGTCCCTAACCTGGCCAGAAGAGTCTTCATAAAAACTAGGAGTTTCCATTCCACTATCATTCTATTTCCTTCTGCTAAGGCAAACACTAGCTCAAGTTTGCTTAACAAAGGCAAGTGCTATCCAAGCCTTACTCCCATAGCACTTCTAACATATCCGTCCAGTCTCAGATTAGTACTTGTAAGAGTTAAATACACCCACGCTGGAGCTGGGTTTATTGTAGCACATAGTAAAGCTTCCACTTCTTGCAACAGATTAAGGTATTAAGTAAAACCAACCTTCAGGCCACCAAATCATTCTTCTCCTAGCTCCCTAGCAAAAACAGCCAGAGCCTGCAGCCTTACTCCTCTCCTTCTTCTCCACCTATAGCACCTCAGCACAGGATAGGATTCAGGCTTCTGATTTCTCCAGCCCATCTTGGAGAATAATTTAACCCTCCAGGTTAGAGGCAGCTGCAATAGTTACATTGCATGCTTACACAACTATACCATTAATACCTCTTAAAATTATCTTTCCACTGGTTCCATAAAGTAAGTCTCACTCCAGTGCATTCCCTTCTCTTCTTTTGAAACCCATGTCATGAAACTAAGAATTGTCAGAATTACAAAGAAGGTTTTGTAATTCATGTGATCCAAGATGGTCATCTGAACTAACAGAAAGAACTTCACTCTCTCCCTCCAAAGAGGGGACAGCCACTTGTTTAATGGAGAGAATACAATTCCATTTTTAATGATTTTGACTACTGAACCCAGCAAGTCACTGATGTCATCACAGGACATGAGTCATGCTGTTTCTAGAGTAGGAGAAATTATAGAAAAAACCCACAAATTAGTCCAGTTTAAAAAAAATCTGTTAAACCAAGTAGTACTCAGAGAGATTACTGAGTATTATATGCACATGTTTATATGTATAATACAGAGTTACTCAGATACACATAAATATTCAATATACAAAAAATAAAGTGCTTTCTATCACATCTCACTGCAGAGACATTATAAAATATTTCACCAACTGCAAATCAAATAGATACAAAGAATACTACATCAAACATACATAAAACAGTTCACACAATATGTACAATCTGGTGGGTGTCCCAAGACAAAGCATCCCTTCATATACATGGTATATACTTACATACTCATCTTTATTCAATATATTATGACAATATATATTCCAAAACTTAGTTACAGACAAAACCCTCCTACAAAACAGCAAGAAGCATCAAGCACACAAGTCCAAGACCAACAAAGAATTTCCCATCCTTGCACACACTGTCACTTCCACTGCTGGGAAAAATATGCCAGTGCTCTTTTCTGGGGTGCAGTGCTTCCACATCCCGCAAGGCACTGTAAGCAGCAGCTGTGAAGTTAGCATCACCAGTGGTGAGCAGGTCAAATACACATGAGTAAAAATAGATGTCCTTCAGCAGCATCTTCTCATGGCATTTGGTGGTGGCAGTTTCCAGTGTGTACGCTGACCAGGGATGAGCAGCACCACCCTGAGGGAGCAACTGCCCCCTCACAGGCAATGGTAAGTGGCCACTATCATCAATGCGCTCACTTGAAGGGCAACCGTTCACACAGAGCTGCAGATCCTGGCTCTCCTCGTAGGCCATAACCAACTCTTGAGGCATGCGAATGGCCAGTGTTAAGTAGCGCCCAAGCTGGCGTATATACACCGTTGTTCCAATGTACTTAGCATGCATTTCAACATAATTGCCACTGACTTTCTCCACAATTCGCAAGCTCTTTGTGTTCCCATCACCTCCACTTGTTGTGCCATCAACAAAAGCTGCAGGTAAGTCATCAGTTACTGCTTGATATACTTTCTGATCTGTACAGTCTCGGTATGACTTAAAGATAATAGTTATCTAGGCAGAAAGGAAAAAAAGTAGTTAGTGAAAAAAAAAATCATCATTTCAATCCCTTTTCTGTTTTACTGCTGAACATACCTGGAACTGCCCACTAGTAGCTCATGCCTAAAGGAAAAGACTGTACATGCTTGAAGTAAATTTTTACCATATGACAACTGTTAAATTTGTTCTTAAGTTGACTTGGAAGCAAGACTATTAGCATCTGGCAACATCCACAAGGTCAGGAATGGAAAAGGCTTTATATATAATTTAGCATCACAACACTCTCCTGCCTGATGGTTTCTTAACACTTTGCAATGCATCCTGCAGTCATAGAGAAGTATAAGCACCAATTAACTCCCACAACGCTAGACACTATGGCAAAACCAGAAGGAGACTGTGCAAAATCACAGAAAGGTACAAAAGAACCCTACTCACAGTATTGTCATCACTCCTTTTACAGTGACTAATGACACTTATAAGGGTACTGTACATCTGTTGGATGTGCATTGGATTAGCTGTGTGAGACAACTTTAAAAGCACTGATGTATTTATCAACCATCAACACAAGAGGCAGTGAGACGAGACATGCATGGCCAGGAAGAACAACTGGTCAGATAATTGCTTAGGATCCATTAGTCCTAGGAAGTGGGAGACTTGACACTTTCAGTCCACTGTTGATAGAAAACATGCCCAAGCCAGTGCACATGGAAAAACAAAGCAAGACTGAAAGATACTCAAAGACATGCCTTTTAAGTGTGACTTCCAACACAAAAAGCAGGAGCATAAAGCAATTACTAATTCTTTTAAGATCACAACTGGCCCTTTAAACCTTCACACTTATTTGAATAAGCCATAACTGAAAGAAGTCTTACTTCTAACTTAAAGTCTTACTTGAAGGCAGACCAAGTTTGGAGTGCCTAGTGGCTTTTCCTAAAATAAAACATATAATAAGGAATCACATGTAAATACCACAATCAGATATGCTACTTCCTTCACAGCTTCAGAGGGCAGTCTTATTTTCATCATTGACTGATTACATCAAAATTACTTACAGACTGTAATTTAAGCAGTCTGCTACAAGATTCAGAGTATTCCAAAACATATTAGAAAGCATTTTCAATCTAAAATTACACTTTTTTCCTTGAAATCTACTCTATAGCAACCTCACATTTTAATTTCAGTTAACTAACACACTTCTGTGTAACTTTTTCCTTCCTGCCCCTCTGCTCTTAAGTAAGAGCTAAATAAAACAGCTGATTACAAACAATCCAAATACTTTCATTAACCTCACCTCTCCATATCAGTTGTATAAGACAAAAGACTTCCCTTCTCCCTCCTCCCATTACAACAACTCTTCCTTTGGAGTATGCAGACATACCCTAAACAATATTAGTTTCCAATGTCTGGTGTGCCCCATTTGGTTGATGCTCTGTCAGTCTGTCTGTCTCACAAACATAGAAAATATTTAAATTTTGTAAGTTCCCACTGGTGCTGTCTGACTGGAATTTTCTTTGTATCAATCAGTTATACAGCTAGCTTGGGAATATCTGTAATCAAGCAATTTGGTAAACTGATGTCTGTGGGCTATGCTTGAATGCCTATGCCTGAAATCCAGAAAATGCACAGCCACTCATATTACTGTAAAGAGCACCTCACAACTCTGTGCTTAATGAAGTAAGCTCAGCAACCCAGAGAAGCCTGAGATCTGTCAAGTGATTAGTGTTTCTGCATATAATCCAGAGCCTCATACAGTAAATCAGGTCTTATATTTTATATAACAGTTTCAATAAAACAGACTGTCTCAGCCTAGCAGACAAAGCAGCACTCCTACTTCCTCAAGCGCATTTGTGTTCCTCTGCAAGGAAAGAATGATTTACATTTCAGCAGAAGCTCTAAGCCTGCTCAGCACCTGAACAAGTCTGGAGTTAATGATTTCAATGAGACACAGAACTGTCTACTTGATAAAACAGTTAAGCAAGATAACTGGCAAAATATATCAGGAAGCAGCGACACAACTATTCTTTCCAAATCTCTCCTCTGCAACAATGAAATGCACACAGTTTCAGAGACAGAGAGGGAGAACAGAAGCCTCCAACCTAAAGGCAAGATGCAATAACATTACATGCTGAAAGAGGGTTGAATGACTTTTAAATGAATGAAGACCTTCACGTAGGTTGCAAGGATACTCCACACAGAATAAGCAGAGACCATTAAGAATTTACATGGACATAACTCATATTTAAACACTGTGGCTCAAGATATTAGGTTTGGATATTGTGTTTTCCGTCATGTGACAGCCATTTAATTCATAGGCTAGATCAGTAAAACCAGATTTCTGTAATGTCCTTCCCTTACCACCCACTCCTACCTGCAGAGCAGCCCTGCGGAAAGGGACTTGTGGGTACTGGTGGATGAGAAGCTGGACATGAGCCACCAATGTGCGCTCACAGTCCAGAAAGCCAACCACATCCTGGGCTGCATCAAAAGAAGTGTGGCCAGCAGGGCGAGGGAGGTGTCTCTTCCCCTCTACTCTACTCTGGTGAGACCCCACCTGGAGTACTGCGTCCAGTTTTGGAGTCCTCAGTACAAGAAGGACATGGAGCTGTTGGAGCATGTCCAGAGGAGAGCCACAAAAATGATCACAGGGCTGGAGCACCTCTCCTTTGAGGACAGGCCGAGAGTTGGGGCTGTTCAGCCTGGAGAACAGAAGGCTGCAGGGATACCTTATAGGCCTCCTTTAAATACTGGAAGGCCACAATAAGAAAGATGAGGACAATCTTTTCAGCAAGACCTGTTGTGACAGGACAAGGAGTAATGGTTTTAACTGAGGGTAGATTTAGACTGGATATAAGAATTTTTTTTAGAGCAAGGGTGATGAAACACTGGAACAGGTTGCCCAGAGAGGTGACAGAGGCCCCATCCCTGGAAACATTCAAGGTCAGGTCTGGATGGGGCCCACTGCAAGAGGGGTTGGATTAGACGACCTCTAAAGGTTCCTTCCAACTCAAAGCATTCTGTGATTCTGTGATACCTTTATCTCACACTGTAGTACTGAGGGATACTTAAGCTTGTTGCAAAGGGAGATGAAGCAAATGTCACTGCAAAGCTTTCTCTGATTAAGTTCCCAAGGTAACACAAAACATTAAATAGTGAAAAAGGTTATTTCAAACAAAGTTAATGTGTTATATGCATACATGCACCTATAGTACTTTCTACACTCTGGCCAGGTTATAAGAACGCCCCAACAAAGCTGCTCATGTGTGACTGTTTATGGACCAGAAACCAGCTGTCCTTTCTAAATCAAGGAAAGAAAAATCCAAATGCCTGATCTTCAGATGAAAAAAGTTCTTTTGAAAGTTATCAGTATCTGAGCCTACTTGTCTGGGCAGTAACAGAGCTCTTAACCTACTGCAGTAACAAATCCTGAAAGATAAAAATAAGGTTGCTCCAGAGACTGACCTGAAGATACAATATACAAACACTGAGAGTACTAAAAAACAAAAAAACCCTACACATTCAATCTGCACATGAAATATTTCATTTTGGACTTCATCATCCCGCTTCTACTGATGCCAGTAACATCATTCTCACAGAGTGTACTGATCTCAAAGATTACTTAAATCCCACTGCACATGCAAAGTCTTTCAAAGATGATGTTAATGAGATGCCAAAAATAAGTTTTAAGAAGACCTTCATGTATCTGTAGCAGGTGCCTGACTTGTATGCCATAAACAAAAGCAACACTTTCAACACTGAGCTCCTGTACTAGTCTTCACTAGTGTCATAACGCAATTACAATGCTGTAGGTCTACCTATACACCTCCCACTACTAGACCAGGTTGCTCAAAGCCCCATCCAAATTGACCTTGAACACTTCCAGAGAGGTAGAATCCACAACTTCTCCGGGCAACCTGTTCCAGTGCCTCACCACCCTCATAGTGAAAAGTTTTTTCCTTCTATCTACAATCTAAATCTACCCTTTTCAGCTTAAAGCCATTACCTCTTGTCCTATCACTACATGCCCTTGTAAAAAAGTCCCTCTCCAGCTTCCTCGTAGGCCCCTTTCCTACCTTGGAACCCTGCAATCAGGTCTCCCAACCACCTTCTCTTCTCTAGCCTCAACAACCCCGACTCTCTCAGCCTGCCTTCACAGGGGAGGTGCTCCATCCCTCTGATCATTTTTGTGGCCCTTCTCTGGATGTGCTCCAACAGATCCATATCCTCCTGGAGCTGGATGCAGTACTCCAGATGGGGTCTCATAATAGCAGAGTAGAGGGGCAGAATCACCTCCCCTGACCTGTTGGTCATGCTTCTTTTGATTTTCTATTCAGGACAGCTCAATTTCTGACAAGACTGCAGTACTCAATTTAGTGGAAACAAAGTTGATAAGACACTTTGTTTTAGTTTCTGGCCTACACCAGTATGCAATGATCAAAGTTTTTACCAGTTTCAAGTTCGACAGGTACAGAAGCTGGGGGAAGCAAAACCCAGGGCAGCTGACCCAAGCTGGCCAACAGAATTATTCCACACCATAAAGATCATGCCCACTGTAAACTGGGCAATTTCCTGAGGATGGTCTCTCTCTTTCCTCGATGGTTATCATAACTGGAGGGTCCCACCCATCGTGCTGCTCCCAAGGCCTATTCCCCCACTCATTGTGACAGTCACGTTTTTGCTGAACCTGTTGTGTTTGCAGTGTTCCATTATCTTATCTGGCACACGCTGAGAATGCATGACTCATGACTGCTGTACGAGCTGAGTATAACTCTGTGTTTTATCGTTCCTATTATTATTACAGTTTAATATTTTAGTTTCTTTTATTTCAATCATTAAACTGTTCCTATCTCAACCCACAAGTGTTCTGACCTTTCTCCTCTGATTCTCTCCTCCACCCCACTAGGGAGAAACAGAGTGAGTGAGATGATGCATGGCATTTAGCTGCCTGCCAGGTTAAACCACAACACCTAGTTTTACTTATAATTTTACTGCAATGGTCCCTAAGTCCATTTTCTTCC